GTTCATTGATTTATAAATATAATATATGAATAAATACTAATTATTTTAATTAACTTTAGTATGAAATTGATATTCAATAATTTAATATTGTAATTTATAATTAAGAGAAACTATAAAAATAATAAAGTAGCTTTGCATTTCTTTATTTTTAACGTGTATTAAAATAATATTTTTCAACTAACATTTCTACTTGTAATTTTTTTTTATTAAAATCCATATTAAATTATAATTTACTCAAAAGTAATTATACCCTGAGTAATAAATGTTAAAATAAAAAAATGTGTATATAATAAATTGTAAATTTTTTGTCAACTCGATTTATAGTTATATTAATCCTTATTTTTTGCTCTTTTTATTTCTACTAATAATTTGTTAATCTATGTTTTATTACTGCCTGAATACTCGTTAAGTTTTCTATCTCAAAAAAAAATAGTATTTTAAATATTGATTTAAAAAAAGCTAAAATTTAGCAAAGATCATCATTTTGTCATTTTTCTATTACATTTAGTGTTTAATTTTTATATGAAGATTAAAAATTATACGACTTAAAATTCATGTAAGGCTTTAAAATGATGCAATATTTTATTGATTTTATAGTTATAAGTTTTATGGAAGTTTAATAGTTTATAAGAAGCATAAGTGAATCCTATAGTGTATTTATCGAGAGTGAATAATACTCAAGGTCATTCCACATTCTCCGAACCTTAGAAGTACAGTAATATGTAAACAAAATAAAACCGTCCAGCCATCTTGTGAGAAATAGTCGTTATACTTTCCTAAACGTGTATGTAATAATATTGTCTTTTTATAATCTCTAACAATATTTCTATTTTGTCATCTCTAAATTACTTGTAGTTATTAGGAAATTTAATATTTTATTTACTAAAATGAATTTTAAATATAATTTAATCTAATGCTCTATAACAATAATAATAATTATCTTTATTCTGTTTATCTATATTTACTAGTTAAAAAATTAAACTTAAGTTAAAAAAACAATTTTTGATTAATCACCACGTCTTAATGGTTTATAACTTATTAGATTGTTTGAGGTTTAAAACATTCATTAAATCGTACTTACCTTATATCATATGATACCTAATAATTTTCAAGTAATCCAATGTGTATTAAATAAAGTATAGATAATAAATAAATGTATACATTTCACACTACGCTTTGTTTGTATAGTCAATATAATTTTTTACGAACAAATTTAATTTTAATTTTGATTTTAAATAATATGATACGAAAAAACTATGACTGATTTTTCTATGTAAAAGATTCCAAACAATTCTATGTAAAAATTTTATCAAAGCAGTATTGTGGCTACTCAATATTTCCAGTGTGGACGCCCAGAAAAATGCAATATAGTAATCACCAAGTAAAAATTAAATACTAAAAATATCACCGTAAGATTCATTGTGTTGGCTATCGGCACGATGTTCGTTAGAACAAAGGCATTAGCAATATGACTATATACTCAATACACATAGGACTACAAATATATATTCTAATCTAATTCTAAAACAATATCTAGTAGCAACATTTACTCTGTTTGTTCAAAAATCAATATTGTAAGAAACACTTCGATGCAAATATATAGATAGTGTTTAATTCTAAGAAATTGGTGGATAATTACAAAAGCATAATCAACTCCTATTTCCTTAATTATATCCTGATTAAAGTAGTTCATTGATTTATAAATATAATATATGAATAAAAACTAATTATTGTAATTAACTTTAGTAAGAAATTGATATTCAATAATTTAATATTGTAATTTATAATTAAGAGAAACTATAAAAATAATAAAGTAGCTTTGTATTTCTTTATTTTTAACGTGTATTAAAATTTAAAGGGTTTGATGCAATACTTTTTAATAAAAACTGTTAGTTACTTATGAATAAATACACTGCACTGCTGAACTTCAAAAATCAAAAATATACTTTTCTAAATCAACTTTTCGCGCTGGTTTCAAATCTGAAATTAGACTTTTTATATTACCCAAGTCAAATTTTTGATATTATTACTAATTACAAGTAAAATAATAAATAAAGAACCCAGTAAAGGGGTATCGGGGCACAGTGGTGACGTGGCATAGTTAGATCAAGTATAATGATATCTAACAGTGATTAAAATTACTATAAAAAAAAAACGCTTCGATGCAAATCTTTAGATAGTGTTTAATTTTAAAAAATTGGTGGATTATTCCAAAAGCTTCATAAACTGCTAGTTCCTTATTAATATCCTGATTAAGACAAAGTATGTAGAATAAAAAAGGGATTATTAAAAAATATTATTTCTCATAAAAAAATTGTGTTAATCTATGCACTTTTCAATAAGTTATAGCATTATAAAGTAAAAATGTAAAAAATAAAATCGAGAATTTTCACACAAAAATAGCATTCAGTAGCCATTTTCACCGTAAAGACAAAATAAAGTCCAACATTTTTTTTTTTTTTAATATTAAAGTATATTACATAAGCTTTAATTTAAGATATATATAAAAGTATCTGTATTTTCGGAACATTTTCAAAAATTTAGTTGAAGAACTTCTACTTTCTCTATGCAATTTTATGTATTGAACCACTCTGTATTAAGAAAAATGGTCCGATTTAAAAAACAAATATGTCGAATTAAAGAAGTATATAAATATTATTTCTNTTAAGACAAAGTATGTAGAATAAAAAAGAGATTATTAGAAAATAGTATTTCCCATAAAAAAATTATATTGATCAATACACTTTTCAATAAGTTATAGCATTATAATGTTAAAAATGTAAAAAATAAAATTGAGAATTTTCACACAATAATAGCATTTGGTAGCCATTTTCACCTTGAAGATAAAATAAAGTCCGAAATTTTTTTTTTCCATGATAAAGTATATTACATTAGCTTTAATTTAAGATATATATAAAAGTGTCAGACTTTCCGGAACACTTTCAAACTAACTTTTAAATTTTTTGAATTTATATCGTTCTTTCAAGTCGAGAAAATAATTTAAAAATTTGAACTAGCTTAAATTGCAATTTTTTTCATTTGTCGAATATAATATACCAAAAAGAAAAGATAAAAAAAACGTTTTATTATAAATAATTTGAAACCGTTACACAATATCTATAACTTTTTTATTATATATAAGGGATTCTACACACTCTATGTTTTTTATTATAATTATAATTAAACAATGTACCTATATTTGATTTTGAATTAGTATATTTTTTGAGAGTATATATTATTAAAAGATTGAGACTAATATTTTTTAAATATTCCTCTGGCCTGGTCAAAACAAGTTTCAAAAATATTAATATCTGTGTTATCAGATTTATTAAAACGGAATTGTGGTGGCCCAATGTAATCCGGCACTAGCGCTTCTAAAGGATGTGGCACAATAATTACTAAGACAAAAATTAAACACTAAAAAATATATTGGTAAGTTTCTCCGTGCTGTTTGCTGGCACGATGCTCGTTAAAGTAAAGACATTAAGGTCAATGACTAGCTACCCAATAAGTATAGAGTTGCAATACACTTAGTCCAATAAAAATATTATTAAATTAGATTAAATCTGAAATAATTGTAATATTTAGCTGATAATAAATATTTACCATTAAATGAAGAATTAAAGTTGTTTTGGGTTTTTTATAAAAATATAAAGTTATCTGACAGTGATTAAAATCACTATCATAAAAAATGCTTCGGTGCAAATTTGTAGATAGTGTTTAATTCCAAGAAATTGGTGGATAATTACAAAAGCAACATCACTTTCTTTTTCCTCGATTATATCCAGATTAGTAATTTTTAGATTCAAAAATATTATTTATTAATATATAATATATTATACCAAACAGAATTTTAACACAAAAATAGCATATTTTAGAATATGGTAGCCATTTCACCATGAAGAAAATCTTTATTTCTAATTTTTTTATTTTCATAGTAAAGTATACAATATAAGCTTTAACTTAAGATTAAATAAAAGTGTCAATGTTTCCGGAACATTTTCAAAAATTACGTTGAAAAAACTTAACATATGTGCAAAAATTGTTTTTTTAAATTACCCTCAAAGGTAGGTTTTGAGTCAGATATTCAAAAAAATTATATCAAATGAAAGAAAAATATCTATGGTTTTAATATAAAAAAAATAATTTTAATTTGTACATTTTTCAAAAAGTTATGGCAGTTTTAAGTATTAAAATAATTCGTGTTAAACGATGATTTTTACATAAAAATGACATTTTTCTTTAAATTTGACGGCAATTTTCCTATAGAAGAAAAGATGTCAAGACAATTTTTTTTTGAACTTATAGTACTTATTATAAGCTTTAATTCGATATATGTTTAAAGAACGCAGTATTTTCGGAACATTTTTAAAATTCAAGTTGAACAAGTTCTACTTTTTATACGTATGTTTCAAATTTTGAAAGCACCCTGTATGAAGGAAAATTGTTCATTTTAAAAAAAAGTATGTTAAATGAAAGAATTATATATAATGTATTTCGAAAAAAAAAATTGTGTTAATACATACATTTTTCTAAATGTTATAGCAATTTAAACTTGATAATATAAAATCAAAAATATTAACACAAAAATAGCAATAAGTCGTGGGGGACAAATTTTTTTTTTTCTAGCCGGAACCTAACGGTGGAGCCTATGCTTGGTCATTAGGCAACGTCATTTGGCCAGCACATTCCTGTTACCCAAATGTAGTTGGACGAATAGTAGTTACTCTCTATACTCTAACACTTATAAATTATACGAAATAGTATTCAAAGGTTTTTAACACTTACCATCCTAAATGAGCAATGTTGGTCTAATTATTCCTATTGACTAGAAAAAAAAAGAAAAAATGAGGTGGTCGTGCAACCATCGTCGTCCACTTCTGGATGATTTGTCATATGGATTGACTCATCATTTTTGTTATTTAGTTTTGTTATGTATTATTATAAGATTTTTGGGTATTATTTATGATAAACTTTTTAATTATAATAATTTTTTACAGTTTATTGGATCTATGGATATTCCTAAACCAATTAATCGAGATGAAATTGTGGCGTTAATGAGACAGATTAGAGTGAGTATTTCTATATTTTCCATAAAGGTGAATTATAGTTTTATTTTATGGTATTTTTATGAATTGCATAGCTTAAAATTACAAAATTTATTTTGTTCAATTTTTAAATTACACATAAACTGCATTTGATTAGGAATCGTTCTCACATCATTTCCCCACTTCAATTTAACTTCATCAAAGCTGACTGGGGCTTATATTCTGCCTACATCACTGATTATTAGTTCAATTTTTGTCTTTCTTCTTCTCCCTTATCAGAATATGATTCCTTTGTTTCTATTCTACTGAAAGCCGCGTATGCCTCTACACCTATTCTCAAAACTTCAAAACAAATTTTCCTTCTCCCCCTATTTGGTGGAACTCTACATGTACGGCCACTATTTAAGAACACTCCATTTCTTTCCGTCAGTACAGATCCTCTAGTTCTATTTCTGACTGTTTTGCTTATCAACGTAACGTTGATAAGATCGTAACGATCTTCCACTGCTTGCATTCTAAAATATGCAAAAAAAAAAATGCTTGGCATTCATTTTCTTCTTCCCTTAATCTCTTTACATCTATTCAGGAGCTTTGGTTCACTGCCAAAAAATTAAAAAACTACATTAATCGTCGTCCAGTTTACTTAAATGAATCTTCGTTTCCTTCGTTTTGTAATAAAGTGGCGACATCTTACGTCCCTTATCACGAAGAATTATCACCTTCATCTTTTTCTACTCCCAATTCATTCAATTTTTCCACGCATTCTTTAACTATGCCCTTTTCCACCAACATGCATCCCCTTTTTTCCTCCTTTACTACTGAATGCATTGCTATTGTCAATGCACTACTCTACATTTCTGTTTCTCTAGATACCTCTTTTCTCATTTGCTCAAATTTGCAGGTTTGTCTTCTGGCTATTAATTCTAACCCTTTTGATTTTCAAACTTCCCCTATAATCCTTTCTATTAGAGTACTTCTCTACAAAATTTTAACCTCTGGTAAAGAAGTTCAATTCTATTGGGTCCCTAGCCATGTCGAGATCCGCGGTAACGAGTTCGCTGATTCTTTGGCTAAATGCGCATCATCATTCCTATGTTATCCTTTCTGTCTTCTTCCTTTTTCTAATGCTCTGCATTACTTAAGATTTATCCTGATAGAAGAATGGTTCAGTAAGTGCTCTTCTCTCACTAACAGCTTTGCCCGATGGCATCGTTCCATCGTACCTATCTAATTCCAAAATTCCGTGGTTCCATCAACTAGATCTTACTCGCATTATTATTTCTTGCTTTTCACAACTCAGACTGAGTCATAACCTTTTTGCTTACAAATTAAACCTGAACTCTGTTCTCTTTTGCCATTTTCATGAGGATGAAGTCCTCAAACATTTTCCTTACTATTTATTGAATTGCTCCTCCTTGGTATCTAATAGGTGCCTGCTTATAAAATTTTTAGAATCCAAAAGAATTTCCAATTTTGTCCCCTCTGTTGTACTAAATTCCCATTCTATTCTCGTGATTACTGCCATCATTACTTTTATATTGAGCGCTGGTTGTACTATTTAACTACTTTATTATATATTATAATTTATTGTACATACTTTACTTTTGTTATACTAATTAACACCAATTATCTCTGTAATTAATAATGATAATTAATACTATTTTATCTAATTCTTATATAATTGTTGAGCTATAATATTTTCATAATAAAAGCTAATAAAAAAAAATTATATAGATTTGAAATCTTCTTTTTTCTCGCTTTTACTTAAATACTTGGGATCGTCCAACCTTATCCTTGACCCCGACTTGACAGGTTCTCCCATATCATCTATGGAGCCATAACCCGTCCTTATATTACGTTCAATAACATCCTTCTATATCGTTTTTCGTCTTCCTCTACCTATTCTTACTTCAGCATTCATTACCATAACTGTTTTTACAGCTTCCAATTTAAAAAAAAAAATTAATTAAAGAAGTATTAACTACAGCAAAATCATACGATACTGCGTATTCTTTCTTCGGCCTCATTCTTCTCATTAAAATCATACCCTCTATATAATCTTTTATATCTTAGTACTGATATGTCCATTCATATATCCGTGGACACTACAAGTGTTCAGTAGACCTGTACACATGACTTGTGAAACAGCAATCATACAATTTGTCCAGTAGCTTTTAAACGCTTTATTTTTTGGAATTCTTCCTTCTTTTTCTAATTAGTTTATTTCCTCTTACTTGTTATCCCCGCATACATCCGAGAGGGATCATTCTGCCTAATTTTTGTCAGGACTCCTCATACTTTTTGAAAAAATTTTATGTAGGCTGTCGATCTAACGCAACTTTATAGGTCGTCTTTTTTGACTGGTAAAGGATCCTAGGAAATATTCATATCTTCTTCCACAGGGAATCACATTGAAATAAATATTTATAATACGAAGTAGTAATTATATTATTATATAATAAAAATTGATCACTTGTGGCTAATTAATTAAGTAAAATTAAAACTATATTAAAAATATTATTAATTTAAAAAACTAAAAAATATTAAAAATATTAAACTCAAAGCCACAGAAAAATTAATGAAAAGTCGCGGATACGTATTTCTGAAACAATGTTACCATTATCAACGCTAAACACATACTGACACCCCGACTAGAAAAAACTCCCTTTTTACCCCTAGTGACCTTATCACCTAGTGACGTCATCTCTAAGTAATATTATCACATTTTGCCAGTTTACACAAGTTTAATAATGAAACAAGTAAGTCAAACAATAATAATATTAATTTTTACAAGTCAATAAATTTCGCTCAGGAGAAATTTCTTAAGTTAGAAATAATAAATCATTATCGCAATAGAAGTAGATTAGAAATGGGGGCTTATCAATTAGATTTAAAACTCTCTAATTTTTTGAGTCAATCACAGTGGGACATCTTCGAGCTGAAGATGTACCAAGTGGTTGAACATAAATTTAAAACAAAAAAAGAAAAGTTAAATAAAAAATTTCAAAATTTACTTTCAGAATACAAAAATAAGGGTCAAATAGATAATCTTAATAAAAGTCCGGTAGTTTCATTTTCTAAAAACTGGGGGGATGATTTAGTTAAAAATTACACAAACATTGCTTTTTCCGCTGAAGAATCTGAAATACTTAAGTTGGGTCTTGNTGAAGAAACTGAAATACTTAAGTTGGGTCTTAAAACAAGTTTTTTACCAAAAAAATTTCCAATGGAAGATCTACTAGTAGGCATTGAAATGGGGGTTAAAAGTGTTGATTTTAATAATCAAGACTTAGCATGAAGGGAGTGTTTAAATTTTCTACAAAAAAATTCTGTTATAAATAAAGGGGGTTTAAGAAAATATGAAAAACATTCACGACTCATAAATGACTTAAAAAATAAAAACTGTTTTTATTTAAAGGCAGATAAGGGGAATTCTGTTGTAATACTAAAAAAAGAAGATTATTATGAAAGAGTATCAAGAATGATTCAAGAGGGTCCTTATAAAGAAATTAAAAAGAATCCATTAAGTAAAATGATAAGGGAGGCTACAAACGTCATAAATAGTTCTAAATTAATAATCGAAGAAAAGTTANATAAATAGTTCAAAATTAATAATCGAAGAAAAGTTCAGGTTTTTCATTAAAATTTCAAACCCTCAAATACCTAAACTATATGCTTTGCCAAAAATACATAAGCCAGGAAGTACTATGAGACCTATTGTGTCGAATATTAATGCTCCGACTTACAATTTGGCTAAACACCTAGTAAGGGTATTTTCATCTTTCAAAAAATTCGATAGTTTTTCAATTAAATTCAATTATTAAACTTGTGTAAACTGGCAAAATGTGATAATATTACTTAGTGATGACGTCATTAGGTGATAAGGTCACTAGGGGTATATAAGGGAGTTTTTTCTAGTCGGGGTGTCAGTATGTGTTTAGCGTTGATAATGGTAACATTGTTTCCGAAATACGTATCCGCGACTTTTCATTAATTTTTTTGTGGCTTTGAGTTTAATATTTTTAATATTTTTTAGTTTTTTAAATTAATAATATTTTTAATATAGTTTTAATTTTACTTAATTATATTATTACTATATTATATAATAAATATTTATGAATTATATTTTATTATTGTATTTTGTCAATGACATACTATTTTTTGGTTTTAGTATGAATATAAAACGAAGAACATAAAAAAGAAAAAAGTTTCTATAGAAGTCTCTGTTGAAGGGATATGTATCACATTGAGAAAGAAAACAAAGGTAGTATTATTGTATATATATGTAAATAAATACACAAGATGTTCAGTAAGTAAGGATACAGGTCTATTGTTACAAACAATGAAAACAATAGAAACCTGTTTCCTGACTTACTGAACACCCTGTATAATTTATGATAAAATATTAATCAATATTAATTATATAAATGGCATAAAAATAATGTTGCTAATTTTAACTCATTCTTATCTGTATAGTAATTAATTTATTATAATATGATATTTTCGTAATAATAACTCGTATATATTATATACGAGTTGCCAGTAAGCTCTAGTATTCTATTATGTTTCGACAACTACTGTAAAATGGTTACAATTTTGAAATTTTAAAAGTGATAATAAATGAATTGTTCTATTAACATAAGGTAACAGGAACCACTCACTTAAATGTTTACTTCAAATACACCAGTAGTTGTGTAATAAATACCCCGCAATACGGTCGTTTCCTCTTCCTGAGTAGATTATTCGGTGTTCATTGGTGAACGTTGCTTCATGGTAAAAGGTATCGCTCGATGGTGTTGTGGTATATGGTACACCTAGCAAGTTATCACATTACATACCATGGTATACAGTATGCTGTATGGTTTATATTAATAACGTATAGTATCATTGTTGTGATCTTGGTTTGTTCCGCTTTCACAAATCACTTGGGTTAGCCTTACTGTGTGTGAGTTGTCGACGAGCGGTGTCGAGTCGTTTGTGGTACTATTGTTGAACGTAATTAATCTGAAGTGTCGTTGTTTTTTTTCTTAAACTTAGCAGGAAGGATAAAAGAAATAAATTTAGTACTTAATATTAGTGGTTTATTGTAATTGACATAGATGAGTTGTAAAATAATCGTAATAATTAATCTATACAATTAATAGTACGGCGACGAAACTACGGCTAATTGTTATTTAAATATTTGACCCGAATGTGCACAAGTCAAGTGGTCAGCTAAGTGCTAAATCAATACGACTTATACAATAGTTCATAACATAACTACATGTATAACTTATCTATCTTTTTTATTCATTTTTGAATCAATGATTCTGGTGAATACTGCGTTTACTTTTTGATTTTGCAAGAGTCATCATTGTTTATTGTTAATATTACTATTACAAATTATTTTCTTGAGAATTATACATTTATTAAGTATATACATTTTACATTTGCAAGTTTTCATTGTATTCAATTACAGTTTGGTTTGGTATCACAATAATTAAAGTATAATGTACGGCACATCGAGGTCTTCACTTGGAACCGGGGTTTCCTTCTTTTTAGATAGCCTCTGATGTTCCTCCAATTACTAGATAACCAGAATGTCAGTAATGTAGTTTTCTATGAACCTCCAGTTTTCCATACTCTTCAGAATTGTTCGGAAGATTGATTCTGAAGTTATTAAAGTCCCTACCGACGCTTCTAATTACATCAATTTTAATGCACAGTGCCCACGACTAAAAATTGTGTATTCTGTAACGTCCATCACATCTTTAAATTACACATTAAGCGCTCTCCATTCTATTATACTTTAATAAGTAAAATTGAAAATAATTATGGGAAAACCAAACCTGTTAGAAACAAATTTTAGTAGTAGTAAGTTGTATTATCTGTGTGGTTCACCCACAATCGAACGTCGAGTATGAGATGCTTCGTCCACGTCCCTTCTGACAGCTGTGACCAATCTGACCAATCTCTTGCTACCAAATCCACATCTTGTCATAAACAATATTTCTGGCATTATCTCCATATGTATCATTTATTTGGCGTAGCTCGATTCTACTATTGGCCATTATGTGAACAAATGTCATACTTCTGTTGACACTACCACAATTGCAAACCGTTATAAGACTTTCGCCACAAGTGATGGTGCGTTAAGCACTTGACAATATGTCTTTGTGATTTTTAAAGGCCAAAAACGAACTTCAAATTGGTGCTATATATAGAAGTGGATTATTTACAATTGACGCGACTTACGTCGCAAAAATGTAGTCGACACTAGTTATGAGGGTAGAGACCCGTGAGCCGTTTATTAAATGAGCGACAACAGGTTATTTTAACAAAAAATAAAACAAACCGAAAAGATAAACACAATAATAAAAATCTTCGCATAATATCGCGGCACTTTCGCTGGCGTCGACGACGCGATGTCCGGCGTGATCCTTGGGCGACAAAAGGTTAGCAGCGTTGTAGGCGATGGTGCGGATCGGTTGGTCAACGTTGTCACTTTCACAACGGGAGGAAGACTTCCGCACCATTTGCGGCGGGTCGTCGTCGGTCGTGCGGCATTTGCTGGACTTTGTACCGTAGCGTATAACACGCGATGTTGGTCAGTCAAATACTCATGGTAAGGCGACGGCTGATAAAGGTGGCACAAGTCGCGGGGCATCGTATATAACGAAGCGACGCGGGCCGTGTCATAAAAAATTCAGAAGCAGCTCTTAAAAAAGTAGGTGAATTGCTAACATTTTGCCTTTTGGATAAAGGCAGCTCTGAAAGGAACCCTTTTGTAGAAGAGATAAAATTAGCAGTGACGGAAGCCATGCGAGAAGTTCCCGAAGACATCTTCCAAAATGCATATCGCACTATATGGCCTCCTGTTCTAACAATTTTCCGAGCACTTAGCGCTGTTCCTCAGACCCAGAACAATTATTGATAAATTAGCCAGATTGGCAAAATCCACGAAACACTTCGTTCGGTCTGGTCAACTGCATTAACTGTTCTCATAATTGTAAATATCTATGACACGTCTTTCTGTTTAACCAAATTCGCACTCTATGGGAAATTTACATCTATACGTTTACATCCTTGATTCATTACCATCTTTGTATCTCCATGCTAAGGGTTACAATTACATTATGTTCTAGATGTATGTCTCTTTAACCCTTCTAAAAAAAATTTTCGAGTCTTAAATCAAACTCTTGATTGTAGTATGCACAGCCCTATCTGTCGGTGTCTTTAAAAACCAATTTTTTTGCACAGGTGCGCTAATGTCGTATTCTCTAACTCAGCCAACAAGATGGTGTTGTATTCCAGTGACTCACTCTCAAACCTGACTATCGATTTAACCCTTTCTTTGTATACCTCAGTAAGCAGTCTATTAACATTTTAAGTCCTATGTTAAAGCTTCGTCACCTTTGTCTACTAGCTAGTTCAAAAGAATCGCCCATGTTCGAGTTGTAACAAAATAAAAGGTATCGCGAAGACTAGCAGTGTTTAATTTGCTCCAAACTATAAGAGCTATAGTAGCTTGAGGTTCTTCTGTAACCTCAATTAATTATTTACTATTCTTCTTCTTCCTCGCCTTAATTTCAACTACTTTTGGTCGACCATCCTTATCCTAAACATCCACTTGACACGATCTTCAATTACATTCTTCAATCTCATTTTTGTTTTTCCTATACCTCTCAATCCTTCAACAATCATTTTTATAACTGTTTCTAAAGATTCCGATTCTTTTCTCCTCATAACATGACCATATCATCTAAGTCTATTTTCTCTCTTCTTATCTAAGATTGACGTTACATCTATACTCCCTCGTATATGCTCGTTCCTTATCTATCTTCTCTAGTCACTCCACTCATTCATCTAAGCATTTTCATCTCTGCTACTCTCATTCTCTCCTTTATTTCTTATCAACCGCCCGATAGTCTGAACTATACATCATAGCCGGTCTTATGGAACTTACCTTTCAGCATTATTGGAATTGTCTTATCGTATAACAGACCAAACGCTTCTCTCTACTTCATCCACCTGAATTTAATCCTGTGTCTTACATCCTTGTCAATACCACCGCTTTTTTGCACAACTGACCCTAAATACTTAAAACTTTCCATGTCTCCAATCACGTCCTCGCCTATTGTCACTGATCTCCTCGTTTCACCTACTTCGTGTTCTCCTTTGTCAAATTAGTTCTCTTTATACTTTGTTTTATTTCAATTATTTTCTAAAAAATAATAATAATTGTAATACTCACGGTAAATTTATTGAATGTAAACTACAAGTTCATATTTGTCATTTTTTTGTGAAATTCGTTATTTTTATTTTAAAAACTATTTGACGTATTTTGATTTAAATAAAATTTATTGAATATTTCCTTAGGATACTAAAATAATTTTTTTCTCTCTAGAAAAAACATTGGACGGATAATAATACTATATTATTAATGCAACACCCAATATACAGGTAAGCTATTTTTGATGCATTTGTAATTTTTGAGTTAAAGTTATTCAATAATTCATTTTTCTAAGTTCTTTAATTAAATTAGTTTTTATTGATTTAAAAATAATAAGCACTAATTTAGGAAAAAAGTTTTCATAAACTCAAATGGAAGGGGAGTTTGGAGAACATTGGTTTATTTAAAAATTAAAAAAAAACTATATGTATTATTTCAGAAATATAACTTTAGGGAGGAAAAAGTTAGATATAATAAGAATTTTTATATATTTAATTTGGAATTAGTTTTTAAATTATTTATCGATCTTTTTAAGTCTAAATATTTGGTCATTATTCGACTGAATTTAATTTCGAATAAAGTAAAAAAAAATTATTAAAAAATTTAATTTAAAGTTCATTAATAGTACAAAAAGATATTAAATTAAATACAATTGTTTTTTTCGAAAATTCAATCTAAAAAAACTAAAAACTATTAGGGTAAATGTCAGGAATGGAAATCTTAAATTTAATTTTTATATATAGAGTGGACTAGCATTCATTGTCAACTTAAATAATTTTTTATCTAGTTAAAATTTTGTACTGATTTTTTTTTTAAATAACAGTTATACATTAGTTAAACCTAACGTATATCTCAATATTTTATATTTTTATACTTTATATAAATATAAATCATTTATCCAAGATAGCTGTTTTATAGAGTAGATTTTAAGAGAAATTTTGGTTAATAAATATCTCATTAATATTCAGTAATGAATAGTCTGTATCATTTTAATGTTTATGAAAATTTAAATTTTGTTGTGTTATTTTACGGTATAAAATGTCGAATTAAGAGATTAAGGCAAGGACAGAAGAAAAGTAAGATAAGTAGTTTTATCTAAAGAGATAAAACTACTTAATATGTAATAGGTATTGTTCGAGTTTTTATTTAAACTAAAGTAAGTCATTGGAATGTTAATAATTTTCATAGAAAAATCTATACTCATATCATATGTAGTGTGATAAAATGGTGTTTACTTCTGTAATTTTTAATATAACATAGCCAGCATTTGATATTGTAGATAAATACAGAATAATTCAAATTTTTACGAAAATTATAATGTTACAAAAAATTAACTACTAAACATTAATAAATTTTTTTTTTATAATATATTCTAAAAATTGGCTATTTTGTAATCTTTCTAAACATTTTTCGTAAATTTTTTAAATTTAATTTTTTTAAATTTAATTATAAAAATAATATTAATAAATTATTATTATAGCCCTCAAGTATGTTAACTAATAAAAAAAAAATTGCAAAAAAAATTAACTGGATCAATAGTTATTTCAGTTGTCAGTGAATTCTGAGCCACTCTGTATATGATCCCGTTTTTAATTTAATAATATGATAAAGAGAAATTACAAATATTTTATTCTTAAAAAATTTTTTACCGCTTTTAGCGCTCATCTGTTGCTCTCTGTAAAAGTTATTTAATTTGAGATAATTTTACTAATGATATTAACAGACAGTACTATACTGACTGTTATGTTGTATGGTTAAATAAAAATATTCTTCATTAATCATCTATTTATTTTTCTTTTATTCTTTTACTCCATAAAATAATTAACAGACCTGTGATCTCAATAGGAAATTCAAATTGTAAAACATCAAACCATCTTTTTCCTCAATGTAGTGATGGAAAAAATTTAATTTTGAAGATGTTGTTAAATTAATTAACGAGAGAGTATACCAACACAGTAAATAGTTAAGTAATGTAAATATAGAAACTAAATTATCAAGAATACACTTTTTTTTACTTGAGGAATCTTTTGATAAATTGAAGTATAAAAATTTTAAGAACAAAACTATAATTTTCTTCTCTACTAAATAAACAAATTAAGATATGGGTATTTAATAATATTAAATTCAAGGTTATATTTTTAAAGGGATATCTGTACTAAAAGAATATTACTATTATTAGTAATACTGCTATTATAATTAATTAATTAATCAATTTTTTATAATTCTCTTTATTGTACTTTATTTTTAAATTTTTTTACAACTTTTAGAATATTTTATGTATCTCATGATTCTCAAGATATGAAAATAATCAGTTATATAGCCCGAGAAGGTTCCACCAATGTGTTCAAGTGTAATGTGTTTAAAGCAAACAAAAAGGTATATTAGTTTAAAATTTATTCAAATATATAAACCTATTGTATTAAAAAAACTTTTGTAATATATAACTTAATTAAACAAAAGACGTTAGAACAATAGAGACGCGATACAGTGTGAACGTGGCATAATTGGGGCAATTATAGATGATATCTGACAGTGATTAATTTTGAGAAAGAATTGTTGAATTATTTCAAAAGCTATATCAACTTCTATATTTATTTATATCTTGATTAGGAGTCCATTGATTTATAAATAAAATGTATCAATAATGACTTCAAATAGTAAATAAATTTAGCATAAAATTGATATTCAATGGTTAAATATTGTTAATTTTACAGATACATTATAAGAAATGATTAATAAGTTGTATATTTTGTTATTTCTATAGCAAACGACTATAAAAATTGAAAAGCGGATGCGAAAAACTTCAGAAAATAATTTGGTCTAAATTGGTCTATAAAAACTTTTCATCAGAGATAAAAACTTACTTTTTGAAAAATAATTACTGTGCTGATTTTAAATCTGCAACTACTTTTTTTCTATCGGCTCTAATTTTTAGATTATTTTTAGTAAAAAAAAAAAGGATTAACATATAAAAACGGTAGCACAGTGGGGTCGCGGCACAGTATAGGCGTGGCATAGATAAGGCAAGTATAAATGATGTCTGACAGTGATTAAAATCACAATCATAAAAAACGCGTCGATGCAAATCTGTAGATAGTATTTAATTTTAAGAAATTGGTAAATTATTTCAAAAGCAACATCAACTCAATTTCTTTGATTATATCCTAATTAATAGTTCTTTGATTTAAAATATAATATATGAATAAAAACTAATTATTGTAATTAACTTTAGTAAGAAATTGATATTCAATAATTTAATATTGTAATTTATAATTAAGAGAAACTATAAAAATAATAAAGTAGCTTTGTATTTCTTTATTTTTAACGTGTATTAAAATTTAAAGAGCTTGATGCAATACTTTTTAATAAAAACTGTTAGTTACTTATGAATAAATACACTGCACTGAACTTCAAAAATCAAAAATATACTTTTCTAAATCAACTTTTCGCGCTGGTTTCAAATGTGCAATTAGACTTTTTCTATCACTTCTAAGTTTTAATATTATTACTTATTATTAAAAAATAAATATTGACATATAAAAAAAAAAATTAAGAACAAAAAAATTGTTTTAAAGTAATACTAATTTTGATTATTAATATGTTAAAAATAAAGAAAATGACATTTTAACCTATTTAAACTTTTAAAGTTGATTTTTGTGAAAGTTTATAGTAAAAAACAAATTATTTATTACCATAACTTATAGCTTAATTTGCAAGTTTGAAAAATTAAAAAATTGTATCGTTAAGATTAATATGTAAATTTATCAGAAAAGCTTAATATTTTTTTGCATTTTCATCATAATAAATAACTTAATTAGAAAGAATAGTAATCATTTCCTATTAACTTTTGGTGTTTAAAAAGATTATACAACTGAAATTTGAAATGAATTAATTTTAATGATTTACCTTAACTAAAATAACTATTCAAAAAAAAGTTGTTAATAAGATCTAAAAATCCATTGTTAATTCAGGAGAAACTAACAATCATTTACTTTAGAAATTATTTATATAAGCAATATGTTACCAAAATTTTTGTATTATTGTAGTCTAGTAGTAGTACACATAAATAGAGTAAAAAAAATATTATATTCCAAAGTAAAATGATTTAATTTTGCAATTGAAACCTATCATATCGAACTTGATTCGTCAATAAATACTTTGAAAACATTAGAAATGAATGATTTTAAATGTCTGTATGGAGAACATGGGATAAGTAACTGTTTAATTGATCTATTAGAATTTTTTATTCAATTTTTGAGTTTTTCTTCAACTAATTGTAATAATTTGACGTGTCGCTGAAAAATGTAGGTCAAGTTAGAGCAGAGAAAATAAATGATAGTCACAAAAAAATACCTTCTCAGCTTTGCATCGAAGCTAAGACCTAAAAATTTAGTAAAATAATTTTAATATGAATAAGAAATTTCATCTCGCAATGGGCGACTACAGTGATGGGATCCTTGAACTTTATTGAAGTTATTGAATCAAAATGTGATAAAAATCAAATGAGTTTAAAATTTATTTTAACTGAAAAAGAATTAAGAAAAAAATGCAAGAAACTTTCTGCCATACGCTGTTTGGAACCTTGTACCCCAAGCGTGTAAGACACAAGTTTTACCGACTCGACAACCGTATGTCGCTTCCATCGAATGAAAAAAGTGGCAATTTAAACTAGTTCAAATTTCAAAACTATTTTCCTCGACTTAAAAAATTCAAAAAAATTTAAATAAGTTTAAGTATCTAAGCTATATCAATTTGATTTATATAATATTTATGAAAATCAGTGTACTCCCCTTGTCAAGTATTTTAAAATATAATAAAATACAAAACCCAGAATTTTAACACAAAATAGCATATCTTTGAATACGGTATTTTCGAATGAAAACAAATCTAGAGGTAAAATTTTTTTTTCAAATTAAAGTAAATAACATAAGTTTAAATTCAGGTATGTATAAAAGTGTCAGTCTTTCCGAAATATTTTCAAAAGTTAAGTTGAAAAAGTTGCCATTTTCAAACCCTTCCTGTGGGCTGGTATGGGGTAAATGCTCACAAGAATATATCAAAAGATTGGTAAATACCAAACGTATCTATATAAAAAAAAATTATATTGATTCGGTCATTTTTAAAAAGTAATGGCAGTTTTAAGTAAAAAAAAATGTCGAAAATTAACGATTATTATATTTGTGATTTTTTGGGTTTTCTCTGTTTACGGGGAACGAGCGATTTTTTAAGGGCAATGTCTTCGACTAGATATGATTTGTGATCTTCTGACGTATTGTTCATCAAAATCGGTCAAAAAATTAAAAATAAAAAAAATTATCATAGTAAAATTAATACCTTCTCAGCTTCGCATTGAAGCTAAAACAATGAAATTAATTTTTAAATACAGAAAATATTAGCAAGTCTACTCAAAATACTTACTTTTTGAGACTTAATTAAAATAAATTTATTTGTTCATTAAATAATGATGTTTTATTTTTTTGTTTAGTAGAAATAAACTTTAATTAATTTTAATTATATTATCTTAAATTAAAAGATTGACCAATACAAAATTCACTTAAAATTTCTAAGTGTCATTTAGCTGAAAAATATTTTAAATCCAAATTAATTAAACGCTGATTTAAATAAATAAATAAATTTAAATCTGATAATAGTGTTTAATATTTAGAAAGAATAATTTAATTATTCAATAGACAACATTAACTTCTATTTTCTTATTTATATCCTGATAACAATTTTTATGATTCATTAGTATAATTCATGAATAACTTATTATAGTTATTAAATTTATAATGAAAAGGATATTAGATTATTTAGTAATCTAAGTTTTATGGAGAAATTATAAAAAATTACAAAGTACATTGTATACAGGATGATTTATTTAATATTAGCTTCTCGACTTCTCTTAAAATAATAATTATATTAAGAAAGTTCTTTTTAATAAATTTTGAATTTATATAAACACGAAACACATACTGACAGCCTACAGGAAAAAATCCCCTCATATACCTCTTATTACTAAGTAATATTATCACATTTTGTCAGTTTACACAAATTTAATGATAAATTTATCAGTGGGCCAAGATCCCAATTAATTAAATTGTTTTTATTTTTAAAAATTTCTATTGCCTACCTTATATTTAGTTCTTTGTAATTATTTACGTTTGTAATTAGTTTTATGGTTTTGAACCCACCTCCCACACAAAAAAAAAATATTATTGAATAATGTCATAAATAATTATTTTATAATTGTATTAATAAAAAATCTCAGCACATTGGAATCACGACTCTTCATCAGGCATTTTAAATATATTATGCTAGAATGTTCGACAAATTTTTAACCATATTAAGTACCTATTAACTGAATGAACGCTGCGTCCAGTGATATTCACACGAATTCGTTGTTTTATTTTTTTTTTAATCAAGCTTGCTGAGGAAAAGGAATAAGATGAGTTGACTGTATGGATGAATGTAGAAAAAAATTTCAAAACATATAACAACTAAATGTATTGTACATTGTTATATCTTAAATTGAAACAATCTTAGTGTCTTAACTTAAAGTAATAAAAGTTCAATAATAACGCAAAAGTAATTATTATATGTATAATTAAATAATGTAAAACATACAAAATAAATATACATTTAAAACACAATAAAAGAATACATAAAATGAAAACTTAATGCCATAAACGTACCGCGTGAAAAAAGATTACATTCGGTGCTCCCGAAGTCCTTTTTCTTCTTCACTTCTACAATTCATTCCATTTCGTCTAATATACTAAAATATTTTGTTTTTCTTCATTTTACAAATACAACATTAATAATACTATCAAAAAATTAAAAAAAATATTTACTTCCTAGTTTAGTAACAATAGATAAGGAAATTACAATTAAACCATACATTACAAAAATGTTTTACTTTCAGCTTTACAAATAATGACCTATATTTCAAAAAAAATCTTAAAATCTTATATATACACCAATGTGGATAGGGGAACACTTAATGCTTATGCCACAATGGTCCTGATATAAATAAATAATAAATTAAAAATATGAATAAATCCTAAAATAATGATGAACAAGTATTATACTCAGCAGCTTATTTTAACGGCTGACGATAATGTTAAATATTGAATGAATCAATTGAAATCTAACAAAATAGCTGACCAACGTGTACTATATACTGTGAACGATACTGTGATGTATCTCAGAAAATATATAATCCCAACGGCGATATACTGAACGCACAAGAGTGCGACAATCGCAAAGGTGATATTTTACTTTTACAACAAATCGAATACAAAACTACTGGCTCGCAATCCGCTATAGAGCTTATAGCTAATAAAACGCGCTAAGATGACCGACAACAACTCGGTGTA